AATTTTTATGATTATGAATATTGTTGGAGCTGCTGACCTGTTTTCTAGTATTTGCTCCCACATATCAGACTGGACTTGGGCCCCCTAAGATTTGGGAAGGAAATAATCTTTTCCACTAACATGGGGAGTTGTGCCTTCTCTGATGAGGCTGACGTAGCACCTTGAGTTAGGACAAGCTCTGTACTTTGTGCAGCCCAGTTGGCTGTGGGTTGAATAATTGCCTGGTGAGTCCGAGATTTGGAAATACATTTTTTAAAAAGGCAGTGAGTGGTACAAAAAAGATAACAGCCCTCCCCAGAGGCACAGCCAGCTCGAAAGTGTTCTCTTGCATGGAGTCGCGATAGTGGCTGATCCATCAGAGCATCCTCCTGCCTCTGAAATCCAGGAGGTTGTGAGAGAATGTGCAGGCAACCTTGACCTCATATTCTAGACACCATCTCTCAGGACAGCCATCCCCACCAGTATCAGAGATCCTTTGTTCAAGTGAGAATGTGAGCCTGAGTCACTGAATTCCACCCGTGCCATCTGGGTCTGGGGAGGGCTGCAGGAGGCAGGCGGCTTACAGCCTCTCTCCAGGGAGAGACTGTTCCCCTGCAGCCCAGGGGCCAGTTCTCTAGTGGGAAGGCAGCGAGCCCCTCAGTCTTGCTGCTGCGGGGTGGGGAGGGGAGTGCAGGGGAGGGGAGTGCAGGCTGAGTTATCTAGCAAGAGCAATTGCTGTCCACCTTGGCTGAAGTCAGCGAGGTTGTAAAATCACCGCCCCGAGGCACTCCAGCACCCAATTTGGAGATGAGTGGGGATTTACATGATTCAACTCAGCGGAATGTTTCTTTCCGGTATCGGGGCTCAGTCAGTCGTGAAGGAGGAATTTGTGAGCAAAGCTCACTGGCTGTGGCTTGTGCTTCCTTCTCGTCCGGAGGGGCTGCAGGCAAAAAGGGCTCAGTCTGAGGTTAAGTTAGCTCAGAGGTGGATGCACCTGTGTCACTGTGACCCGAGGGAGCCTGTCTTCGGGGTCGGGAGGGATGAGGGGGGAAAACGCCTCCTGACTCTAAGCCCTCAGGGTCAAGGACACTCGGACTGAATGTTTTTGGGGGTGCCTACTATGTAAAGTCCTACTATCTCTTCATTCGATCCTGATAACAATGCTGTGAGGTTGAGGGTTTTGTCCTTATCTTATGGACGAGGAAACTGAGGCTCAGGGAAGTTAAGGGAAGAGCCTAAGGTCACACAGCCAGAAAGTTGCTCAACCGACCTTCCAGCCCCAGGGGGGCGTTCCCTGGAGTTGTGCTTGGGATTCAAACCCAAATGAGCATCATGCAATCTAAAAACAGTTAACTGGTATATGCGTTCTGCATTCACAGTCCGTGCAGGATCTTGCTAGAAAAAGGTTACCAGTGGCAGTCAGGGAGCTGGAGAGCGGTTGTCTCTGTTTCACTGCCTCACGATTTAGTGGGTTGGAAGGGACTGGAGACCCTGTCCAGATGGAATCCAAATCCATGCTGAGCCACTTACTAGGTCTGGATCCCAAGCAAGTCATCTCTCCGTTCCGAGCCTCAGTTTAGGCAGACGTTGGTGAGAATTCAGAACGCTCATCAGTGTCATGGCCAAGTCGTGCAGAGGAGGGTCCGCAGTCGTCAGGCTCACCTCTCTTCCAGTTACCCATTGTTTGTAACTAACCACCCCTAAGGGCCGTGCAGTAAGAAGCTACAAGAATCCTTTGTTTGCTCTTGAATCTGCAGTTTGTTTGGGGCTCTGCAGAGACAGCTTATCCCTGTTCCAGCAGCAATTTGACTAGGGTGGCTCAGCTGGGACCGTCTTCCAGGACGGCACATCCATGTGGCCAGCGACGTTGCTGGTCGGTGCCTCCCCGCCTGGGTCTCTCCGCAGTGTGGCTTGGGTTTCCTAGGTTTGAAGAGTAGGTGTCCCGAGAGACAGGAAGCAAAAGCTGTCAATTTATTAAGTCCTGGACCTGAAACCTTGCCACTCTGTCATATTCTGTTGGCCAAGCCATCCCAGAGTCTGGAGTCAAGGGGAGGGGACGTAGAACCCCCTCTTAACGGGAAGAGTGTCAGGGAGTTTCAGGACATTTTCAAACAGCCCTGCCACAGCCCGTCCTCTGGCCACAATTATGTCCATTTATTACATGTACTAACTATACTCAGAATCCCCCAACATCCCCCCAAAGTCTCCTCTCGTTATGGCGTTAGGTTTAGGCTTGAGGTTCAGGCTTGTGTCATCTAATCAGGTTCAGGTGTCAGTGAGGCTCCCTGGATTCAGGTCCTCAGATACAGCTCCTTCTTGATCTTTAGTCCCATCAACTAAAGAGACAAGACATCTACTTCCACATGCAACAGTGACACGGACCATCTCAAACCGGCAGAGCGGAGGCTGGGCTGCTATGTTACAGCCTAGTGGGGCGGTTTCTCATAGCAGCCCAGGGCTTTGGATGCAGCGCGGGTTGACAATAGGTAATCTGGGTTCAAATCCAGACTCTAGCACTGGTTGGATGGGCGGTACTGAATATGTCACTCCATTGCTCAAAACCTTCATTCTCTTTTCTTCAAAATAGGAATAATCATCTCTACTTCAAAGAGACTATGTGAGATTTAAATGAGGCATTGTCCTGGAAACAGCCCAGAAATGTTCCTGGCATATACTAGGTCTTCAATAAAGGAGAGTTGAATTTGAAACCTGAGATGTGCAAACGAATCAGGCACGAAGATATTTATTTCACAGAGTGCATGCAAGTCTCACGATGTATGAAAGGGATCTGGGAGCTGTAATGTTCTGTAGGTGTATGTGTTTGTTTCTTCTGTTTATGCCATTGGCTGCTCCTGAGTCAAAGCTCCAGTGGTGGGGAGGGATAAATTAGGAGTCTGGGATTAGCAGATACAAACTACTATATGTAAAGTAGATAAACAATAAGGTCCTACTCTATAGCACAGAGAGCTACATGCAATAGCTTCTAATAACCTATGATGGAAAAGAATCCAAAAAAGAATATATATATGTACAACTGAATCACTACGTTGTGCACGAGAAACTAACACAACATTGTAAATCAACTCTGTTTCAATAAAAATACAAAAACAAACAAAAATCAAACTTCCTGTATCAGCAGGGTGCAGTCCCCTCTGCCCCGAGGCTGGTGACAGTCTGATCTCTGAGGCAGAAGCTACAAAAGTCATTAGGCTTTTCCTTTCCTTTTGTGCTTGCCTTTGCCTTGAAGTCACCAGATTCCATCTACATGGGATTACACTCCAATCTTACAATTCTGTTTTCCGGTGCCAGGGACGATTTCTGGACAGGATGAGCAGACCAGTCTAGATTGGGGCCAAAAGGTGAGAGTCGCAGGGTGGGTAACACAGTCTCTGTTTCTGAGAGATAAACATGGAGCTGGGTGGGAATGGGTTTGGAAGCAGGGAGACCAGGGTCCTATCCCGGCACTGCCTCTCGTGACTGTGCGCTATGGGCAAGTCCCTTTGCCCTCGGGATTTTTAGCTTCCTCATCTGACGGATGCGGAAATAATCATTCCGACCCTCAGGGCTGTATGAGGAGGCAGTGAGGCGATGCATGTCAAGAGCTCACCTCAATGCCTGGTGGGGAGGTGGTGCCAGACAGATGTTGCTTTATTATTACCAGAAGAACATGGGATAATATCCACCTAATCAACTGGTAGGAGAATTGAATAAACTGCATGAAAACATCTCCAAGGAGTTAGGCATGGAGAAGATGCTCGGGACATGGCGGTCACTGCCGCTACTGCCAATGATAATTTGGGGGGAGGGGTATTAGCTTTATTTTTATTATTATTATTATTATCTAATCTAGGTACTGGGAATTTAACCCACGACCTTGTGCATGTTAACGCACACTCTACCACTGAGCTGTACTTTCCCACCCCCGCCATTAATAATTTTAATTTTAGCAATAATGGTGTTGATCACACTTGACAAAATTCCTAATATCCTTTGAAAGTTTCTGTGAGCTTGGAGACAAGGTTTAAACTACGTGTACGCTCAAAGATCATTTGAAAGACTTCTCCTGCAAAAGCCACGTGTATAAGCAACATATTGGCACCAAGCGAGGAAATCATAAATAAAGATAAACAGAAGGGAACCACATTGAGAGCAGTGCTCACAATTTCATCCATGGCCTGGGTGAAAGAGCACACAGGGACACTTCCTTGTTGAAGGTGACCCTGTATTTTTTAGGCGGAGAGAAGTACTAAGCGGAGTAGATTTACTGAACAATGAAAATGAGGGGAAACCAGATTGGTTTCACTTCTTAACCAGTCAGAGCCTTCAGCTAAGCTCTGTTTAAATCCGCTTTCTCTTATTGTATTTGTAAATCCATAGATTTTTGGTTGCTCTCTGCAATTAGGATAGATGTAGTCCAGTATTTTAACTTCCTTGTCCAAACCATCCTACTCCTTGGTCCCTACTTAACCTTGCTTGTGGGTCTATGTCAGCAAGTCTCTGGCCTTCAGAAACCTACAGAGAAGCAGGCAGCAGTCCCTATGTTTTCCTAAATTCCTAAGCTCCTAGGGCACCTTTCTCAAGAACTTTCTTACTATATTCCCCTCCATTTCTGAGTGGTACTGGGCTGAGACCTCAGGTTCTGCAGCTCAGCTGCCAGCAGAATGAGGAATAAGGTGCTGTATTGGTTAGCTACTGTCATCTAATGCTGTGTAACAACGATCCCCGAACTCAGTGGTTTAAGCCACATTTTTCCTTACAGATCTATGGTCAGCCAAGCTGCTCTGCTTCACGCTGTGGCAGACATATTGAGTCTAGACCTGACTGAGAAACTCTACTTCAAGCTGAAGGTCTGCAGGCTTGCTGAGTTGTTCTGTTTCACATGTCTTTTTCCTCAGACTAGAGGACTACCTGGAGCATAGTCTTCCCCTGGCGATAAGAGGCATACAAGACACCTCCAGTTATCATGTCCTCATACAACTATGTACAAAAGCAGCACGGGAAACAAGGATTCGCCTTGCATACCTTTTCTCTTCATCAGAGTGGACAGTCATCCTTAGAAGTTCCTTCACGTATTTCTCTTCACATCTCACCTACCAGAGCTGGATCCCCCGTCCATCTCCAAATGAACCTCTGAAAAAGGGAAAGAGACACCATGATGGCCTTAGAAAAATGCTTGTCAAGTGAATGGATTCTTACAGAGATGAGTTATCGGCCTACAGGTTCCCACATCACTTTAAGGAGTAGGGAAAAATCATGCCCAGGTTTAGGGATTCCATGTAAACAGAAATGCGTAGGGGACGAGGTGGAAGAAGGATTCAACTTCCTGTTTTGTTGCCGATGCAGCTACTCAAACACAGGTGTGTGGGTTCAGTAATACAGGGGTTAATATGCTCAGACTTCAAAGGATACGTCAGCGTGTCCCTGGCATGGGGGTGTTATTTCATAGTCAGTAAAACAAAGGCAATTGCAGTGATTAACTTACTTACAGTAACATGCAATCATTAGCTATTAATAATAATTAGCTATCACTAATACTGAAGTAGTGTAAACTAAGTGCCAGGCAAATTTCTGATGCTTTACACGTATAAATTCATTATTATGTGCTGTTCTTTATGACTGATGGGACCAACGGGCTTCAACGAACCACACGTCCTGATAGTCACCCCTTGGGGTGGTGCCTCCCACAAAGATCCTGGGCTGGGCCACATGACCTGCTTTGCCAGTGGGACATTAGCAAGTATGGAAGCAGCAGAAGCAATCTCTCTTGGAAGTCAGCTGCTCTGCTGGAAAGAAGTCTAGGCTGGACTACCGTCTGATGGGAGGACTCATAGAGAAAAATCCTGAAGGCAGAGAGGCCAGTATGCACCTGCCAGCCCCAGCTATGCTCTCAGTTAAATGCAGCCCCGTGAGTGACCTTTGCAGAATCCTAAGAAGTAAGAAATCAACGTTGTTTCCAGCCACTGAGCTTTGGGGTGGTTTGTTATACAGCAATGGGAAGTTAAACAATCGGTACAACAAAGGTGTGTAAATTCCTTGGACAATGTGTGTGAAGGACTGTCTTTTCCTTACTATTTGTGATCAGCCAGAAAAGCTAAGGGGATGACTATGAGCCTCACAGGATCCTTTCTTTCATTAGACAAATATTTATTGAATGCCTGCTCTGTCCAGGGCAGTGCTCTGGGTGCTAGAGACATCACAGTGAACGCAGCCCCCGCCCTCATGGCGCTCACAGTTTATGACATGGATTCATCCTCCTTGATGCCCTCGAAAAAGACGAGTAGTGCTCTACCAAATATATCCTTTTTTTCCCCATAAACTGTGATGTCTCTGTCCCTCAACTAAATCTGACTTTCATCTGCTCATAATTCCAAAGGTGGGGGAGCAGAGCTAGACTGTAAAGTCAGACTGACCTGGCCTCAAATGCTCTCTCCCTCCCATCTCCCCCTCTGGTCTCCGTTCCCTCGTCTGTGGACTGGGTCTAAGAATTCTCATCCAAAGCTACTGGAAAGACTGTAAGGAGAGCACAAGTATCCAATAAACGTTAGCGTTCTTCTTCTCGTGGAGGGAAAATACGCCTCCAATTTCAGGGCACTTTCAATTCAGAGGGCAGTTCACGGGCATCGGGTCTATCCACCCCCCCCACCCCCGTTTCCTAGGGCTCTGATGCTGATGCAAATTTTGAAGCTAATTCCCCCCTGTGCTCTAGATTTGCCCTGAGTCCCTGAGGAAAGCTGAGCCTATGACCCTTGATGCAGGCCCCTCCCACGAAGCTTTACCAAAGGCTCTCACGCACATGACCTCAATCACCCTTCCCAGCAGGCCTGTGAGGCAGGTGTTCTCAGCCTCATTTTCTAGTCAGATACCTGAGGCTCAGAGAGCTGCAGTAACTTTTGCAAGGTTACACAGCAAATCAGGGGCTGAGCCCGTCTTGAAACCCAGGCGCCCCATCTCCTGCCTTAGGCGCTCTCGAGTTCCTCTGCACTGTCTCTGTAATCCATCCCCCCCGCCCCCTAAACATGCTCTGTCACAGAGATGCTTGAGAAGCAAACCCCAGGGCATTCTCAGGGAAGGGAGGTGATGTGATTATTTTCTCGCAACTGTGTACGTAGGAGGCATTAACATTCACCCAGGAGCTGCCGAAACCCGCTCAAGCGGAACCGAGGCTGGCGGGGAAGGGGACTGACCACATTTGCTTACAGTAGGCTAAGCCGGCTCCAGCTGCCGAGCCGCATGGCCTGGCTTGATGAGCGCGGAGAAGGTCTAATTACAGACTGACAGCCCTGAGTGTCTCATGGGAAGACAGGTCCTGAATAAACACACTAAGGGAGACTTGAAGGGTTTAGAAACAGATATGTATTTGTTTCCTAGTCCTGTAGTTCTATGGGGACGATCTCAGATTAGCATCACAGAAGCCTAACATTTCAGCCCAGAGGAGGCAGTGGATGGGAGCCAGCCCTCACATGTGGGCGTTGAGGTGGCTGTTCCAAGGTAATGCAAGGCCACCCTGCAGAGGTCTGCGTGGGCACCCCGAGGCCTGACCCCTGAGCAGCCGAGTTCCTACTGTCCCCTCTCGCTCCCAAGCATTTCCTCTTGTGTGTCAGGCGCGTGCAGTGTCAGCCCTGGGGGTCAGTGTCTCAGCTGGTTTCTCTGCCTCAGTCTCAGCCCTCTCCGGTCCGTCCTTCTGTGTCCCCAGAGTGCAAAGGACCCGTGTGACAGGAGGCTCTGCCACTTTGTTTTATTCAGTAGCCTCTTGGGGGGCGAAATCTAAATATTAGTCTTGGCAAAAAACAAAAACAAAAACATCAAAACCCTCTGCCGGTCCCGTCAGGTAGCTGTGGATCCCAGACTGTCTGTCCCTTTGCCTCATCACGGTTTTGCTCACGCCCCTTCCTCCCTCCGGAAGGCCCTTTCTTCCCCTCCTTCTAAAGAAACTTCTCCCCTTCCACCCCCACTGCCTCCAAAAGAAAGCCCAAATCACATCCAAGCGGCCGTAGTGATGCTCCCAGCTTGGCCCCTGCAGGTCCCTACTCAGCCTGGGACCCGGCACTGTGACGGCAGGGGCCGTGTTCTCTTCCCCCTGAGTATTCAGTGCCCCCAGGCCCCTGAGTACCTGGCCCCCACCCTTGAGAGAATGAATATAATGACTGATCGCTTACGACACGCAGCCACTTTGTGGTACAATGCAGAACAACACACACTGGGACAGCCCCCCAGAGCTTATGGTCTGACTGATCCATCCCTGGGTCACTCCTGGTTTGAGGCTTACAGGCTCTCCTATCTTTAGGAAGCCTTGCTTAAGCAGTAAATACCTACGGCCTGATAATGTAAAGATGCCTACTATCCAGAGAAATGGCACACACGTGGGGCGACGGCAGCAGCTGCTCAGTGACCCCCCCCACTCCATTACTGCCTCCTCAGATGGCACGTGAGCATGGCTGAGTGCGAGCCCCTACCTGAGGGGCCATGGGAGGGTGTTTCCGGAGCACAGAGCTTCGTGACAGACAGACAGGAAATGAGAGGACTGCAAAGAAAAACAGGACTCATCATAATTTTGCCTGGAAATGCCTGTTAATGTAGGTCATTGCAACAGATATCTATGAGGTACTGTGTGTGTAGGGGTGTGTGTGTAGGAGGAACTGCGTGTGTGTGTGTGTGTGTGTGTGTAGGAGGTGCTATGCATGTAGGGGTGTGTGTAGGAGGTACTATGTGTGTAGGTGTGTGTGTGTAGGAGGCACTGTGGTGTAGGAGGCACTGTGTGTGTAGGTGTGTGTGTGTAGGAGGCACTGTGTGTGTAGGTGTGTGTGTAGGAGGCACTGTGTGTATAGGTGTCTGTGCAGGAGGAACTGTGTGTAGGTGTGTGTGTAGGAGGCACTGTGTGTGTAGGAGGCACTGCGTGTGTAGGTGTGTGTGTAGGAGGTAGTGTGTGTGTGTGTAGGAGGCACTGTGTATAGATGTGTGTGTGTGCAGGAGGTACTGTGGGTGTAGGTGTGTGTGTAGGAGGTACTGTGGGTGTAGGTGTATGTGTGCAGGAGAAACTGCACGTGTAGGTGTGTATGTGTATGCCATCAAATTCATTATACAGGAGGGGCAGTGAAGGCACCGTGGAGAAACAGCTTGTCCAAAGCTGCACAGTTGGTTCATGCGGTGCTGGGATGTCCATCTAGGGAAGTTGGGCTTGAAAGCTGCACTCTTCCTGCTGTACTGCATAAAACACAGCAGAGCACCTACTGTGCGCCAGCACTGGGGATACAAGGTGATGTCAACATGGCCCCTGCCCTCAAGAAGTTCCCAGTGTATTGGGCAGGGGGCGAGAAAGGAACGGGCTTCCCCAGCGTAGTGCTGGCAGGGACCAGAGGACAGACTGTTGTGGGAAAGGAGATTTCACCACGGACACTGTCTGGAATCGCCTGCACACGGTGATCATACAGAAGCCGACCTACCTCTACTGGGCTTGAGCACTGGTTTTAATGTCCACGCGCACACTAGGGGCCCTCACTGCTTGCTGGTGGGGCGTATGAAGTTGGCCTACCTGGGGAAAGCTAGTTCCACTAGCTGACTCTCACACATGTGGTGCACAGAGACTTTGGGCCAGCACGGCCTGCCCTTCCAAGAGTACAGAATCACACAAGTTGGTGGTCTTTCAGAGAGGGGATGTAGCCAGGGGAGAGGGGTGCCACCCATCACACCAGGAGCTAAAGCATCACAGAGAAGGAGACAACTGGTCAACTGATGACGCCTGAAGACTTCGCTTAGGTGTAAAATGGACTCTGGTTTTTGTTGCAGCCAAAGTCCAAGAGGAATTTTCCAAAGGACCACCCAGATTTGGCTAGAGCTGCTTACAATGCTCCATGCCTTCTTGGTGGAAAGGTCTTTAATTTCTAGCCAATGAGCCAGACACTGACTCAGTCCCCTCCCACCCCTTAAATGCAAATGCAGAGCTTCACCAAGAAGTGGAGCAGCAGGCACGCACGAGCCCACCCCAGGTAAAGCCTCTTATTGAGACCAGCTTCTCAAACGAGCCCCACTTCATTTGCAGCCAAAACCCCACCACTGATATTTCTGACCACAGCCGGAAGGGGGAAGAATGAAGCAGTCAGGAGGAAAAGCAAGTATCAAATACATGCCACTTC